CCCCAAAACCCCAAAACCCCATGTAATAGAATATGATGAATATCAAAAAGATTTAATAGACTTTGATATAATTCTATGGGTATGTTTAGAATCCAACCTTCAAAGCTTAGGTCCTTTCTTGAAGTCGAATAACCCTCCAGCTGCATTGACATTCTCTGAATCAGGTTGCTCATTGAACTTGACATAGTCTCTGGCGATTGGTGCATTCATAGCTGCAATTCTTGGGTAGTCGTAGGCTTCAATGATATCATTAATGTGTGGGACTAAGGCCTTAACTGCTTGCTAGTAGTCAGCATCTACATACTTAGCTGCTTTCGCATTAATGACTCCATTCATCAAATACCATCCTAGGTTTTCCTTCAGCTGATGAAGGCAGTGCAATCTAATGGTCTTAAACAATACTTCTTTCAACTTATCACTTTTAGCAGCATTTAGTCTATTAAGTGCTCCTTCGAGGAAGATTCTTTCTCCGAAAGCTGTAGCCAAATTTTAAATTTCATCTGAAACCTCATACATCCAAACATCGAAGAATTTCTTGCCCTCTTCCATAATCTTCTTCTTTAAGATGTCAGTCATGTTCTTAATCTCGGCATGTTCTCTGTAGTAAATGAGATTAGTAAGGGTTTCAAGATCTGTAATAAAATCTTAAGATGGAATGCCTTTTCTTGGGCACTTGGTCATTGCTGGGAGTCTATGTCTCTTTTATTGTAGATCAGCTAAGATGTCCTTAACAACTTTCTACATCAATACTCTGTTGTCACCTTCAGCAGTCATTCCAGAGTGAGCACCAGCAATACCTTGATGAAGTTAGGCATGAGCAGTGAATCCACCACCGCCGCATCTTTCTCTGCAGACAGTTGCAGCATTTTGCAAGTGCCATCCGACCATAGTCTTAACAACACAGAAAGTTTTAATCTATTCGAACTCTCTGCCAGTTGGATTGGCAAATAGATCCTTGGCATCATTATATCCGAAGTTCAAGACAGCAGTCCTTGCAATCAATGGCATTAAGGCGTTCTATTGTAGTTAATAAGCCATAATTGGGGTATCAGATTCACCAGAAAGACCAACTCCTAGTCTCTGCTGAGAATATTTAACAGCAACACATAAGCACATCTTGCAAGTTGAGAGACACATAGCAGCAATGCACAATCTACCAGATAGTAGTCTATCTGCCACTTTGAAGAATCTCTGAGTAACTTTGGGAATAGGTGATACAAAATCTCCAGCCTCTGTTACGTCATTGATCTTGTTCAGCATGTTTTCTCTTGGAATTTTAACTTAATTGAACTTAAGTTTGGCATTATCAATACCATTGAGACCCATCTTGAATCCCATATCCTCAATAGTTACTCCAGCACATGGCTTCATGTTATCATCTCTTACTCTCACAATGAATGGATTAACTCCTTCATTTTTGCCCTTTACAATGGTTTAAGCAAATACGATTGCTTGGTTTGCATGACAAGCACCATTTGTGATCCAATATTTTTATGAAAGTGTAGTTGGTGAATGAATAGTGAAAGTCTTAGTCTTATCATCATAATGAGCAGTAGTCTCCATTTTGGGGGCATTGTTTCCATATCCAAGCTCGGAAAAGCAGAAACAACCCATATTTGTGAGATCATCTACTTTCTTCATAAATGGCATATGTCTATCAGTACTGGTTGCCATTAAAGTACCTCCGAACAGATTGAATTGCACAGTGAATTTAGTGGCAAGAGACCCATCAGTGTAGCCAAGCATCTCATGAGCAGTTAGTAAGTTCTTTGGGTCGTTATTGAAATCAAAAATGGAGAACAACTTAGCTTCACTAACTTTCTTCAGTCTATCGTAGGCTAATTGTCTTTGAGCATCGAGAGGGATATCATACTTGGGGTAAAATACTGGGTCTTCGAATAGTTTTTGCCACTTCTGAACCTTTTCTTGCTTATCATTAAAGAAAAGTTACTAGAGACCTTTGGAAATTTCTGGATCGAAGGCTTTAAGCTGATCCATGACAATCTTGGTTTATTCCATGATGAAATATTAAGCGCTATCAAGTAAAGATATATTTTTAAATTATTAATAGATTTTCCAAGATTCCTATTCTCTTTTAATACTCTCTTAGGGCTTTACGGGGTTTTGGGGTTTTGGGGTTTTGGGG